TAGACAATTTCAGGAAGCCAGAGTGATGATGGCGTACCCCATGTCCTAGACTTACTATTAATTTTCCTTATATCCTATTTGAAAGCAGCTTTGCTTATTCTGTAAAGGAAAAAATCTAAAAACTTTTCCTCACTGTTTTTGTTTATAAGAACGAACCATGGTTTTCAATAAAATGCTTTGTTCATAGTTTATATTGTTATACCTAACAGGATATGATCTTCCATGCGCTACTTTTTTTCTATGAATAAGCTGTAGTCTATTGATTCAAAGATGTACCTTTTCTCTATATTTCAATAACTGAAATCAAGTGAGTCTTATACATGATGGTGTGTCATAATTTAATCAGCAACCACTTTTCCTGCTTAGGAGTACTTTAAAATAATTGTACATCTTACAACTGATTAGATTTGATGAAATATGGTAATGAATAAAGCATTTAAAAAATATTTTTTGCCAGGCACAGTAGCTCATGCCTGTAATCCCAGCTACTCAGGAGACTGAGGCAGGAGACTCACTTGAGCCCAGGAGTTCAAGGCTGCAGTGAGCTATGATGACGCCACTGCATTCCAGCCTGGGCAACAGAGACTCTGTCTCCTAAAAACAAAAAAAAAGAAAGAAAGAAAAATGGAGCTCAATTTTCAGCATGACAGCATGAGCTCTGCTGACCTAGTCGCCAGTGAAACTGGTGAAAAAAATATTTTAGAAAACCACTTAGAGCATCTAGAAATCATACTAAAGGCAAACAACAAATTAAGAAACATCTATACAAGAAAATCTATGAAGATTCATTGAGAAAGGTGAGAGTATAGTATTTGAACCAAGACCACTACCTCTCTCTCCCCTCCCAAAGCAGCAAGATAGAGACCCCACTCCAGATTACTGCCACCAAGAACACAGGGCTCCCTTGCTCCCCGGCACCAGGGTGGGGGATTTCATCCTAGGAGAAGCAGGACTTCAGCTTTTCTCATGCTGTCCCCAGATGCCTGTTGTTGAGGCTAAGTCCTAGGAAAGTACAGTTGAGAAGTGGGTGGGCAAGGAGGGGGTCCCTTATCCCAGCCAATCCCCATGGGTAGAATGGAGGCTCTGCCTTGGGTGCAGTAGACTGAAACTATTAGGGCCCTGTTAGCCCTTCCTGGGGCTTGTAAGGCAGTGGTTCTACACCCAGAGAGGCAGTACCAAGAGAGCCTCAACACCTACCCCCCACCCATCTAGTGCTCAGCTCCTAAAATCGGGTGTCACTCAGAGAAAAGCCTTTCATTGTTCCCACTCCCATCTCCAGGGTCCTGGCTCAGAAATCTTACCTGGAGCCACAAAAGAGCTCCAAATCTCTTCCAAAGAACTGGCTTCATTTGCAACAGAACATAGAGAAGTTTAGGCCTGAGAGTTGTGGTGAAGGGAATGGGGGAGAGGAAGAGCCCTCCTGGGATCAGATAAACCTCAGATACTGACTTCAGAAGCTATTTCTTCAGAGGAACCACAGTTTGATTAGATTAGTTTGTAGCAGAATTTATGCCTCAGAGAATTGTTATGAACAATAAAACAATCAGCTTGCAATTAGTGTGTAGAGTTTCAGAAAGAGCGGAAGAGATCTCTACTAATGACAAGTCATCCCAGGTGACTGTGGGCATAGCAAGAGCTGTGGCTCTAGCCAGTTGCTAAACAAACAAACAAGCAAATAATAACAGGGGTGAGAAGGGGGAGACTCCCAGTACTCAGAGTTGCTAAAATATATTTATTTACAATGTCCAGTTTCCAACAAAAAAGTTGATGTACAAAGAGATGTACAAAGAAATGGAAAATACAACCCATACAAAAAAAGAAAAAAAAAAAAAAAAGCAGGCAATGGCAAATGTCTCTGAGTACAATTAGCTGTCGGATTTAAGAGGAAAATTCAAAGTAGCCATTATAAATACACTCACAGAACTGAAGGAAAACTTAATGATACAAACCTCAATAGATTTGGAGGAAGGTTTGACAATGTTGCATCAAATACAGAATACTAATAAGGAAAGAAAAATTTTAAGAATGAACCAAATGAAAAATCTTGAGTTAAAAGGTATAATAACAGAAGTAAAAATTCACTAGAGGACCTTGTGATGATTAATTTTATGTGTCACTTTGACTGGGCTAAGGGATAACCAGAGAGCTGGTAAAACATTATTTCTGGGCATGTCTATAAAGATATTTCTAGAAGAGATTAGCACTTGAATCTGCAGACTGAGGAAAGAAGATCGCCCAGTCTATTGAGGGCCAAAATAGATCAAAAAGGTGGAAGAAGCTAGGACATCCTGCTCTCAGACATCTGCTTCTTGGGCCTTCAAACTTAGACTGGAACTTACACCATTGGCTCCCCTATTCTTAGGCCTTTGGACTAAGACTGAATTACACCCCTGGCTTTCTGGTTCTCCAGCTTACAAACAGCAGATTGTGGGACTTCTCAGTCTCCATAATCACATGAGCCAATCCCCATAATAAATTTCTTCATATATATATTGGTTCTGTTTCTCTGAAGAGCCCTGACTAATGCTAGGAGTCTCAACAGTAGATTTGAACTGGCAGAAGAAAGAATTAGCAAACTTGAGGACAGATAATAGAGATTATGTAAACTAAAGAGAGAAAAGAATGAAGAAAAACAAAGCCTCAGAGAAATGTGGGACACCATTAAGCACATCACCATATGTTTAATGGGAATACCTGAGGAGAGGAGGGAGAAAGGTAAAGAAAAAAATATTCAAAAATTAACAACAATACTTCCCAAGTTTATTGAAAAACAATAAACTATGCATCTAGAAAGCCCAACTCCAAGTAGGATAACCAACAAAGAGATCCACAGACACATCATGATAAAAATGATAAAAGTCAAGCATTAGAAAATCTTGAAAGCTGCAAAAGAAAAATGACACATCACGTATAAGGGAACCCCAAGAAGATTAATAGCTGACTTCTCAGCAGAAATAACAGAGGCCAGAGGCCTCAGCAGAAATAACAGAGGCCAGAGGCCTCCCTCTATAATGGGATAACACACAGTGCTCAAAAACAAAACAAAACCCCCAACAACCAAGAATCCTAATGTCCAGAAAAACTATCTTTCAAAAACCAAGGTGAAATAAAGACATACCAAAATAAATTAAAACTGATTGTTTGCAGACCTGTCTTATAAGAATTCTAAAGGAAGTTCTTCAGGCTGAAAGGGAGTAACCACCCCTCCCCCCACAGTGATTCAAATCCACACGAAGAGCAACAGTAATTATGTAATTGTAACAGACACTGATAAGTATATTTTTTCTTCTCTCTGTTAACTGATTTTAAAAGCAATTATATAAAATAATACATATATAATGTATTGCTGGGTCTATATCATATGGAAATACATCAGTAGTATAACAGCACAAAGGATGTGGGTAGAAATAAAACCGTAATGGATAAGGAAATAATGACATAATAAAATCTATAAAATAATAATATAACAATACATTGTTTGGTTTGTAACAATAGCTGCAGTATGTATAACAATAATATCACCAAAAAAGGGTAAAAAGGGAATAAAACTATATAGGAGTAACATTTCTATATATTGCTAGAACTATACAGTTATTAGGCTTATATAGCTACCATAAATCTAAAATTGATTCTGACAAGTTGAGACACTACTAAACAATACTTTAAAAATAGTGAAAAAAATCATTAATGAAATTAAAATGCTACCTTAGAATTCAATCAATGCAAAAAAAAAAAAAAACAGGAACAAAAAAGACTTGAGACATGAAAAACAAAAAGATGACAAATACAACTACATCAATAACATTAAATATGAATGAATAAACAACCCAATCAAAAGACAGAGACTGTCAAATTGGATTTTAAAAAGCATGATCCAACCATATGTTGTCTAAAGGAGACAAACTAGATTGAAAGACACAAATAGATTGAAGTAAAAGAATGAAATAAGAATGTGTAATGGTCCAGCCACTTTGGAAAACAGTCTGGAAGTATCCTCAAGTGATAGAGTTATGATATGACCCAGCAGTTCACTCCTAGATAAATACCCAAGAGAAATGAAAACATATGTCCACACAGAAACATGTACATGAATGTTTATAGCAGCATTATTCATAATAACCAAAAGGCAGAAACAACCCAATCTCCATCAATGGATAAATAGATGAACAAATGTAGTATATCCATATAAGGGATCATTATTCCACTATAAGAAGGACTGAAGCACTGACATACGGCACAACATGGATGAACTTTGAAAACATCCTGCTAAGTGAAAGAAGCCAGTCACAAAAGACCACATACTATATGATCCCATTTATATGAACCCAGAATAGGGAAATCTATAGAAATAGAAAGATTAGTGGTTGTTTAATCACAAGGATGGAATGGGAAGGGTATAGGGACTAGGGTAGTAATAGCAAAAGGGTACAGGATTTCATTATGAGGTGATGAAAATGCTCTAAAATTGAATGTGGTGATGGATACATGCATCTGTGAATATACCAAAAACCACTGAATTGTACACTTTAAATGGGTGAATTGTATAGCATGTAAATTACATATCAAAAAAGCCATTTAAACAAATTTTAAATATTATTTTTGCTGAAGGAATCATTTATCTAACAAATGTCTGTTAACGTTTACCAAGCATCAAACTCTGGATCACGAACTACAAATATATCGGTCTCTGTCCCCAGGAACAGGGATCTATGACTGCTTAATCAGTGTGGCTCAGTTTCTGGATTGTGGGGATCAGAGTAGGAGATTCATCAGGAGCCCTACCCCCACTGGCAAGTAAGACTCGTAATCACTCTTGCCCCACTCGCACAACTCATGCCTACAACTTTCCCAATCTGCCCTCTCACATAACTGGAATTCTGTCTTATTTATATGTGGGAATCCTGTATACCCTGCTGAAACTGGTACCCTGCCCTGCACCCCAGCTTCCCTGGCAGGACTCCAGACATCCTCCCAACCTATGCCAATCCCACAGACCAGATCCTGTGTTCTTCCAAGTGGTGAGTGAAGCTTATGACAAACTAGTACTCCTAGGAACTGTACTGTGATTACCCGCTAAACCTTGAGACAGCCTAGGAATCCTATGTGCTGGTCATAATGAGCATCTCAGAATTCCAAAGCATAAATCCTCTATTCCCTTTCAGAACTTGTAGCTGTACATGCAGCTCCCTGTCCCTGATATCCCCACTGTCCCCTACTTGCCTGACATGGCCTTCATATTCATCCTTCATAGTCTACCTCTTCTGTGAAGCACATGAAGAATTAGTAGCCTCTGTCTTTGCTCTTCTGGGCAGTACAGCAATAGCCAAGAGCATAAGTTCTTGAATTAGCCTGCCTGAGTTCAAACTTCAACTGTACCATTTAATGAATGACCTTGGTAAGTTTCTCAACCACTTTGCTTTGGCTTCCCTTCCCCATCTACAGAAAGAAGGTAATAATAACCTCCCAGGGTTGTTATGAGGATTAAATGGGCTAATACATGTAATATGCTTATAACAAGACAAGCACTCTATTGTTGTTTCTATCCCATTCTATCTGATGGTATCACATTTGTTTACATGCATCTTTCTCATCCAGTCCCTGAGCTACTCAAAGGCATGAAATTTCTTATTTCTTTTCTTATTCATAGCACATAATACAGTGCTAGGCACAGGATAGGTACAGGTAAGGAACCAATGAATGAATGAAAACTAAAAGCTATTATTCTAACAATGTCAAAGATTATGGAAATCACAGTTTCAAAATAAAAATTCAGAGCACATGATTTGTGGGTATACTGGAATTAAATATCTGAAATCAGGTGTGCCTTGGAAAATCCAGGCTGTCTGACTGTCAGAACTATCTAGAAAGAATCCAAATGCTCAACAGTTAGATTGGATGGATAAAGAACAAAATTTAAACACAAGAGATTTTATATAACCATAACTGGAAAGTTTTGCTGATACCTGAAAGAGTATGGACAAAATAGTAAGCAGAAAGAGCAGAAAAGTTTGCACAGGATTACAGAGCTGTTCAAAGAGTGATCAAAGAGAACAGAGGTATGTACCTCACACTACATGGTGAAAGAAACTTTGTTCTTTTTTTTAGCATATAGGATTAAAAAAAAGAAACTCTGTGTCTTTAAATTAATTTTGATTCTAAAGACAGCTTAATAAAATAACAATAATGTTTATAATGCTTTTACATAGAAACAAGAAACTGGAGATTCCAAGACTTTTAATCTCTTAAATAATACACAGTAAGAAAGGTCAAGTTTCTTCATTACTATGACTCTCTGAATAGATACATTTTCTGACCAGAAAAAAATTCACATATCTTCCTTATAGAGGAATTCTCTTACTTCATAAGCAGACTTTTAATGGCCCTTTATTTTACTCATGTCAGGGACCTTCAATAGTTTGATTAAATTAACTATTCAAAGTTCTTCCTCATTAAGTCTTCTCATTTTGTACAATTAGAACATATGAAATCTAAAATTTATATATTTGTACACAAAGAAAAAAGGTCTTTAACAAGGATTTAATTCATTTCTCACCAAGAGTTCTCCCCAAAACTAGAACCTAATTAAGAGAAAGACAAAGAGTAGGAAAATAATACCACACTTGCTCAAAGCACAGAAACATATGTTTTTACTTATATCAGCTTATTTTATACATATATACGCCCACACAGATATATACATATCCAATATGTATATATACACATAAATATAAACACAAGTCAGAAAAAAAATGAGGTCATGAAACAATCTTTTCAGTTGTCTTCATATTTAGTCAATAAAATAATGTCAGCAATAGCATCTTCAAATAGCACAGGTGTCAAGACTATTCTAACTTAACTCTAACAAACCAAATATGCAATCATCTCAACACCTCCATCCTTCTCACCATCGGCATTCCTTAAATTAACAGAAAGAAAGGCTATAGGTAAAAAAGTATGGGTGGTAATTTACTCCAAATATTTTCTCTTCCAAAAAAAGCAAAGAAATGCATTATCCCTGAATACAATTCTAATCAATGAACAGGTAACTTTCCTTTAAAACACAGTTCAATAACCTAAACATAATTTTAAATGTTTTTTTTAATTCCAATCAGAATTTCTCCTCACCCCTTCTTAAATACTTGCTTAAAGAGCAATCTGTCAATGCATGCAGTTTAAATCATTAACTACATAGCACCAAATCACTAGCATAATTAGCATGTAAATTTCATGAAGGCACTGTGTTCTTTTAAGTGTTTTATACAACACTCAGTACAAAGAAGCTTATTAAACACTTATTATGTTTAGTAAAAAAACTAAAATGCCAAAACAAAAGTCTTTATTATTCAACTTGGCTGTCATATATCTGTTTCTCCAAGTGCAATTACAAGAAACTGAAAACAAACCCCATTATACCATTGTAATTAGAAATCCTGTCTCCTCTGTCCAAGAACACTGTTTCATTTTATTGTAAGAAAGAAACTGCCAGCAGATAGCATGCAGAGTGCAGACTGCTAGGGTATTTAACCTAAGCACGTTTACAAAACAAAAGCCTACTACGTTTCAGGCACATTTTCAGAGTCATTTTCCTTACCTTTCCCATTTTGCCATGTAGTATACCAAGATAAAGTAAGGAACGAAGTGATAAATGCTAAAGCAGTGGCTACAGTTCCATTTCGGAGCCTCATCTCATTTCACCATCACACTGGTTCATATGTTTGTGATGATAACCAGGACTGTTTTCTTTTTACCCTGAAGTCAACTAAATCCAGTACTCCTGATTCTAGGCCAATAAAAACAATCAATAAGAGAGGTTCATTTCAGATGCTCTGCAGAAGGAGCCCAGCAGCGGTACCATTCATAATTGAGATTGTCTTCACAGTCTTCATATGATGATGTCTCAGGCCTTTTGCGTCCTATGCAGGGGGGAAACAGAAAGAAAAACTCTGTTCAGCAAAGCAAAATGTAAGAATCTTCATTTATTATTCACCATTCTAAATAGACTTTTGGCAGAGCTAAACTGTATCTATAGGGACTATTCCTACATCTACTCATTTAATACACTAGAATCATATGGTCCTTCTCCTCCAGGGAAAAAAGCTTTAAACTATATTCCCTCACCACTGTTTTTATTTTGTCTGTGAAAAGAAAGTTATGTTTAGTTATATAAAGGGAGAAGTTTGTGGGCCTCACAGATTCCAAGATGAGAACTCTAATGATCACACAATGGTTCCTGAGTAACATAATCTTTACTCTCCTCAGTTTTCCTATTGCACAATAATAGGTAATGTTAAAAAAAAAAAAAGGTAAGAAAACTGACAGACTACAATACATAAAGAGTCAAAAGACCTGACTGAGTCCTAGACCCAGCTCTTGTCATTACTTACATGACTTATCTGGGTATGTCATTTATCTAGTCCTCGAGGTTTCAACCACATGAGAAAACAACCTGTCTGCTCTTGCACATATTATCATAAATAATAAAGAGGTTACAGTTATTATTGCTACTTATCATCATCATAAAATAAATGTAGCTTTTCCAGTGATTAACCTATTCCCAGGGTATAAATTGGGAATATTTAAGCATTTAGAAAATGCAGCAATCAGCCAGGGACAGTTAAAGTGGGAGTGAGCCCAGGAGTTTGAGACTAGCCTGGGGGATATAGCAAGGCCCCATCTCAAAATAAATAAATAAAGAAAAGAAAGAAAAAAGAAAATGCAGCAATCCAACCAGAATACTGTATGACCACGGGCCTATCACTCTGCATTGCTTCAACTCAAGAAATCTGGGGAATTTCCCAACAAAGCTGTTGGGGAAATGGAAAAAAAATGAAGTTGTTAGAAGTATTTAAGCACAGTGCCCAGCAAACAATAGGTTCTCAATAAATGCTAACTGTATGAAAGAAAAAGAAAAAAAAAAACAACAAAAAACTCTGCCAACCACTGGTTAAGTCTGTAGTCAGTTTCATTCCCCAGGGGTATGTCAGGACCTCCCAGATGTGCATGGATTACTCTCGGCCTCAGGGATACCACAAGGTGAAATGACACTCCAGTGAGGTGAGTTAATGGACTTACAAAAATGGCTAATGATCCCAACAGCCAATTCTCTCAGTGGAAGAGTACAGCTGATTAAAGCAGCCATTTGAAGCCAATACAGAAACTACCACCTTGTCTACTACTTAACACCAAATATTACTAGAAATCTCCACTAGTAAAGAAAGATCATAGAGGTATAGTATTAATAATAATGATGATGGTGGCCACTACAGCTTGTTAAATGTTTCCTAGATGCTGGGTCTACTATATGTTTAAATCTTCACAAAATCCTATGAGGTAGGCATTATTAACTCTATTTTACACATGAGGAAATGAACTCAGAGAGAGAACCCTAATTTGCATGACTCCATAGTCCAAGCTTTCATCTAATACTCTTTCCCTCTCAATCAGGCCACTGTACCATGGCAGTACGAAGAGAAGTGCCAGGGATACTCCAAGTCTCAAGTTAAACAGGAGAATCTTCCTGGAGTATTAATTACACCCAACAGTAAGTGTAAATCTAAAACTTTTATATTCCATAATGAACATAGATCTATTATGAAATAAATTACAAAATTCATAGAAATTTTCAAAGTCTAAACATGCAACTTTACACGAATTTCTCTAATCCCTCTATCACAAATCCTCCACCAAAGCATATCTGTTAACTCTGTCTGGCCAGCAGTTCTAACTTCCATATAATATTCTAGAAGCATCTAACCTCTCTTACTACCTGAACACAAGGAGCTCCAAAAATATTCTCACTTATAAAGCCATCATTGTTTACTAAGCCCACATTTATTCACCTTCTACATTAAGAGAAGTTAACATCAAACATGCCCATATCTACAGTTGAGAATTAGAATCTTCACAGCAAAAATCCTATAATTTTAACTAAACTCCATAAAGTGTTAAATATATATTGTCTTAAATCAATAAGCACCTAATAATGCATTCTGAATATAAAAATAGAGGTCATACCCCACTGAATTTTACAACTTGGAATTTTAATCCTGGTGCAGCATTATATAAAAATGCTTATAACTTTGTTGCTACATACTTAGCCTTATCTTCAGAAAAAAAATTGATCTAGTAAAAGATCTAAAAGGTATATAAACACTCAATAATAATTGGGAAATATAGAAGCACAGAATCATAAAATAAAGGATATTTTAAAAGTTTTATTAAATACAAATAAAGCCTATATGGTAAAATTCAGTATAAATGCAGAGACAAGTAAAAGTAAATGAACTCTAAAATCAAAGTAGACTATTGATATGCTACTCATAATACACATAAAGAAAAACATAAGGAAAATTAAATATTGAATCCTGAATGTTATTAAACTCTGGATCCAATATTTAAAGAAGATACAATGTTGTTTAGAGAAGATACTTATAATGAATTGTACTAATAAGCCCTGAAATTTTGCAAGAAAAATACAAGACTGTTTTACTCAGTAAGAATGTAGTCATACATTTTTAATTAGGGTTTCCAAATATGTTTAACTGCAAAACACAAGTGAATGAAGTCTCCAGACAAGAGTAAAACTAAGGATCTACATGCTCTTAAATCATGAGATGCAGTTCATAAGCTGGCTTCTAAGACACAAGTGACCCACACTTTTATTAGTGTCCATATTTATAAAACCTTTAATCTAGCACCTTAATATTCTCCGAGACTATCACTTAAAACATTCGAATCTTTAACAACAACAAAAAAGGCAGTGTCTAAAATTTCTAGTCATTTCTCTACCCTCCCAAAAATGAATGGAACTTTCAACTCCAGACCTCTACTGAAATCTGTTTTCTTAACAGTCTTTAAAGGCTGCAGTCTTGTATTTTATAATTGGACACAAAACCTTATTTTATTTTAGAGTGTCCTCTGAGCAATTCAGCATGGTCCATGGCTGAGAACACTTTGCTGAACATTTGGCATATTCCTTAATCAGCATCCCACAGACAGGACAGAGGTGCCTGAAGAATGTAAGGCACAATCCACGATATCCAGAATCAATAAAAGCCATGACGTAAGCCTACAGAATTTTATACACCACAATTGTGGAAAAATTCACTTGTTTTCCATTTATAAAAGGGTTGGTATTTTTCTTTAATACAGCTTACATAATATCATCTTCCAGTGTGTTTTCACATTTACACTTGTGGGTTAAAGAAACCTATGTCAGGATAACCTCTTAATAAAACTATTAACATTCAGAAAAAGAAACATAAACTACAAAGCGCATATTCTTTGATTCTAAATTTAGATTCTACATTCAAACCAACCACTTTGTCATTTTTTATCCTCTATCAAAGAATTCATCTGACAGCAAAAGCACAACAGCAAAATATATGGAAAGCATTAAAACCATACATTGTGACTACTTTTGTTTCACAATTCACAATGTAAGCAATTAACGTGCTACAGAGAAACACAATGTTGCAAGAAATAAAAGCGGGCATGAGAGCGGTACCACTTCCAGCTCATAAAAGCACACCTTCGCGATGTCACCTGGCACACTTACTGGAATCACCTACACCGAACCTAAGGGTCCTCCTACTTGCAGCTTCCTCACTACGGAGGGAACTGAGGCCTGGGGGCATGGAGTACTCTTTCACACTGGACTGTCAGGTCTTCACTGAGCATGAAAATTCCCCACTGCAACTGTTCCAGCAAGCGTACAGCAGGTGTTACAGCAAGTGTTAACAGTGACTGACCAGGGAAAGAACCGAGCGGCACACAGAGGGTCGGAGAATCAGCCTTTATTCCTCCTGCGGGCTCAGAGGTGCATGCCACCAAATTCTGAGCACCACTTCCTTGTTCTCCTCCAGTTTTATACACATCTTGGGCTTACACACAACCAATCAACTATGAGCATGAGGAGTTATCCAATCAGTGGTGGGATTCAAAAAGTATCTAATTAGCAACAACCTTTACATATCCAATCAGCAGTGGGACCAAAAAGCATCCAATTAACAACAAGCTTTACATATCCAATCAGCAACAAGCTTTATATCCAATCAGCAATAAGCTTTACATATCCAATCAGCAGTGAGTTCAGCCATGAGGCCCCAGGGTGGGGTTTTTTCCCTGCCATTCCCCTCTCTTGATGCCCTTATCAGTTTACATAGCAGCATCAACCTTTCTATGAATGTAATAACTGCATTGAGCAAGCAGGGTCCCATGGTTACCATCAGCCAGCTAGGGGCAATAAAGCCCCAAAACTGTTCTACCTCCTGTTTTCTCTTGTGGATCCTTTCTTTTAGCCCTTTGACTTTAGTAGTTACAATTCCTGATTGGTTTACATAGTAACAGCATTCTTCCCCCGGAGAGACACAAGCCCCCCCACCCCCTTTTCAAGTGGCCGTCTATTCTGCAGGGTTTGCCAGTGAGTATAGCAGACTCTGGAGGGATAGCAAGGAGTCCTATCCCAGCCGCTATCACTCCCCCTATAGGGCTCGTTTGCTCTGAATGGAGCAGGGGCCCAGAGAGCCCCAACCAAGAACAACACAGAGGCACCCCATGTAGACCCAGAAAAGGATTACCAAGAAGCATGTTAGTCCAATCTCTTGGGGCACAGGCCCCGAGTCCAATTCCCAAGAAGACTGTCAGTATTCCTATAAGAGTCCAGGCCAGTGGTCCCATTCAGTCCTTGGCTTCTAGTCAGACTCAGGGGCCTTAGTGGGCAGGCATCTGAGCCAGATCTTCAGCGGTCTTGTTGACTTTGTCGCATCGGCTCGTTTCACTTGGGAATGGTAGATCCATGGGGTGACACCTGCAACTTTGACAGCAGTGGGGGTAACTAATATCACAATATAGGGCCCCTTCCAGGTTGGCTCTAGGGGTTCCTTCTTCCAATCATTTACCCAGACAAGGTCCCCAGGTCAATGGGGGTGGACTGAGAGTCCCACTCCAATTTGGTTTCTCTTTTGAATAGTCTGGTCTATAGTGGCCATGCTTTTTGCTAAGGCCTGGAGCTGTCGGTCTAGGTTTAATTCTCCCAGCTGTCTCCCAAACTCCTTTCAGGAGTTTGATAATGTGTGTGTGTGGGGGGGGGTGGCCTGCCACATAGGATCTCAAAGGGTGAGTATCCAGTGGGGCCAGGAGTGCATCTTACCCGCAGTAAGGTGATAATTAACATATCTACCCAAGGTAGTTGTGTCTCCTGACAGAGTTTGGCCAACGTAACCTTGAGGGTTTGGTTCATGCGCTCCACTTTCCCTGAGCTCTGTGGCCTATAGGCCATGTGCAACTGAATACCTAATGCTTTGGAGAGGATCTGTGTAACTTCTGCAGTGAAGCTGGGTCCGTTATCGCTGCTGATGGAGAGAGGCAAGCCATACCGGAGGATGACCTCCCTCAGCAAGAGCTTCACTACTTCTCTGGCCTTCTCAGTTTGAGTGGGGACAGCCTCAACCCAACCTGAGAAAGTACATATCATAACAAGCAATAACTTGTATCCCCGGCTTGGTTTGATTTCGGTTAAATCCACCTCCACATCCTCGAACGGGGACACCCCAGTGTGCTGAATTCCTGGGGTTGGCCTTGGTTTAGCCACTGCGTTGTTCCTGGCACAGGTCTGGCACCGGGCACTAACTGTCATTGCCACTGAGGGGAGTTTGGCTATATAATAGTATCAGGCAAGCAGCTGGGTGAGGGCTGTTTTTCCCAGATGAGTCAGATTATGATACCGAGACACAATGGGATAGGCCAGCTTTCCTGGATTGAAGATGGTTTGGTTGGGCAACTGCCACCATCCATCTGTGTTTTTCCTGGCCTGTGCCTGCTCTGCCCATTGGTCTTCCTCTAGAGTGTACCTGGGTTTCTCTGGCCACTTGGGGGCCAGGAGGATCTGGCATTTGGTGGTGGGATCCTCTGGTTGTCCCATACTGGCCGCCTGTCTTGCTGCCTGGTCTGCTAGATGGTTACCATTGGTGACTGAGTCTGTGCCCTTCTGGTGTCCCCTGCAATGGATGACTGCAATCTCCTTCGGTGCCCACACTGCTTCCAATAGGTGAAGAATTTCTTCCTTATTCTTCATTTCTTTTACTCCGGTGGTCAACAGCCCTCTCTCCTTGTAGATTGTCCCGTGTACGTCACCGTAGCAAAGGCATATTTGGAGTCTGTTTATACATTGGCCTCTTTGTCTTGGGCATACCCGAGGGCTTGGATGAGCCCCCATAACTCTGCCCTCTGGGCTGACCATTCTGAGGCAGGGGGGCTGACATGATGACGTCGTTCCCCGTGGTGACTGCATAGCCAGCCAACCATTTGCCATCCTGGATATAGCTGCTGCCTTCCGTGTAGAGCTCCAGGTCTGGCGCCGCCAACAGACTATCTATCTTTCAAGTCTGGCAGGCTTGCATAGACTCCCTCCATGGCCTCAGCACAGTCATGGTCCGGGGCCCTGGCTCGGTAGGAAGGGTTTAAGGTCCACACAGTCTCAATGGTGACTCGTTTGGTTTTCACACAGCAGTCCCTGGTATCCCGCCAGCCAACTGCTAGAAAGCCATTGGTGCCCTGATGTGTTCATCAAAGCCACTACTGTGTGCGGGACCTGCACACGGATATTTTGCTCAAGCGTAATCTTGTCCGCCTCCTTGATTAGCAAGACGGTTGCTGCCAGTGCTCACAGGCAAGGCGGCCATCCCGATGCTGCCGAGTCCAGCTGTTTGGACAGATAGGCTACTGGCCTCTGCCAAGGGCCCACAGTCTGCGAAAGTACCCCCATAGCTACCTGCTTCTCGTGCGGGAACAGGTTGAAGTTCTTGGTGAGGTCTGGCAAGCCCAACGCTGGGACCTTCTTGAGCAACTCTTTTAGTTCATGAAAAGCCTCCTCCTGGCTTTCAGTCCATTCTAGTTCCCCCACCATCGCCCCCATAATGCCTCATATAACAGCTTAGCTTTCGCCACTGCCCCACCTGCCCCGTGGCCCGCCAGGGCACCGACTCCCCTAAGGGCGACTGACGTGGGCTCTCCGGACGCAGGGTCCCGCGGGCAACTCTCCCTTCCCCCGCACCCCCCAAACCCACACTTTGCTCCACTTTCCCCCAAAGTCGACTAGCCCCGCCGCGCGGCGGAGCCCCGGGAACGCACTAGGCTGCTGCGGCGTCCGCGCGGAGCGGGCGGCGCGGGGAGGACGCCCCTGCCCCCGCCCCGCCTCCCAGGCCCAGCCCGCGCCGAGCGCCGGCCCCGCGCACCGCAGGCTCGAGCAGCTCTCGGTGCCCAAGCTCCGGCCCGGCCGCGACGCGGGCGGCTCCGTTACCAGCAGGTGGATCTCCCGCAACCCGGGCGCCGCAGAGCCCGCCGCCGGCGCCGCCCTTCATCCCGCGCCCCTCCGCGCAGCCGCCCTGCGCTCCCCCAGGCCGCCCGCGCGCCGCCGCCGCCGAGAGCCCCTCACCCGCCGCAGGCGGTCGGGCAGATACACAACAGACAAGAGAAGACACAAAACAAGAGAACAGAGCTGACATGGCCAAGAACAATGGCCACTGCCTGCCGCCCCCCTCCCCGCCGGCTCCGCCTCCGCGCGAGCCCGGCCGCCCCGCCCCGGCCCCCGGCCCGCCAGCCATTGGCCGCGGGCTGCGGCGCCGCCGGCCGCAGCGCGCCCCGCACGGCCCGCCGCGCCCGCCAGTGGCCCGCCCGGCTGTCACTTAGGGGCGCCGCTGCGCAGCGTATATAACTCGGGAGCCCCTCCCTTCATTTAATGTCACCGCGAGGTCTGGAGCGGCGCCGCAGTCCGGGGTCCCAGCTCCGGGCGCCCGCTCGCGCCCGCCGCCACATCTGGCTCTAATCCGCTCCGGGTGTGCGGAGGCAGCTCGGCCGCCAACAAAGGCCCGGCGAGCCCTCGGCCTCCGCCTGGGCGCGCGGCCCGGTGCCCCGGCGCCGACTCGCCTGCCCAGCCTGCGCCGGCCCCCGCCCCACTGGCGGGTCCGGGTCCCTGGCCGTCCAGCCCGGGCAGCCTTCCCGGCGACAGGTCCCACCGGCCCAGCAAGAGCTGACGAGGCCCCGCAGTCCCAGGCGCCTCACCGACTGTCGCGGACTGTCGCGA